AAGTACTATCATGGATTTCTAAGTAAAATGTTTTCCATAATTTTTCCAAAGAACGGAAGTGTTGAATCAGTCAACTTTTTTCTGCATCCATATTTTGAGTTAAATGCTACAGAATACATAATCTCATAGATCCTGAGTTTTCCCAGCTCAAAAGTTATTAAGTCTTAGTGGAGTTGTTATGAAAATTAAGTGTATGCATATCTAAAGTGCTAAAAAGCTGACAGTGTCTTTCTATCATTATTTTTTTATTTGAACTTTGGATTCTTGAACAATTTTATCTATGTACCCCATCATTTATGAGGAGGATGGTTAGTTTAATTACCACAGTATTTTAATGACATTGTTAAATTTTCTCCTAGATATTTAAGCCTACACCATTCTGGACATCCAGATTCTAAGGAACAGTCAGATCATGAACTTCCAATTAAATTTACAATAAAATAAAAATCCAAAATAATTTTTGTGATATTGTACATCAGTCAGTTACTTCTCGACTCCATTTGAACAGAGTAAAATGGATGTGAATTAGTTGTTCTACCAAAGATGTATATGTACCTTGTCATGGTTTATGTTGGTGGCCCCCAGGCTTCATGCATTTGAATTATGCATTTGTGATTGGTTGCTTGTCTAGAGCTTGGATTGATGGTGTCAGTGCTATACCCACATAAGGGTTGAAGCCAGAGTTACAATGTAATGGCAGGAAGAAGGTGTGTCTCTCTCCTAACAGTTTCTACCTTGTTTGTAGCCGCCATGAACTGCAGCCTGCCATGCCACCCTGCCTTGGAGCTAATTGAGTATGGGCTTAAAGCTCCCAAAACATAAGAAATAAACCTTTCCTTTCCCAACTTTGGGCATCAGGTATTTTCCCTCAGCGAAGAGTGAAAAGTAGCTAAGATACACCTCATGCCAAGTCAAGTTCTCATGCTTAACTGCACCACTGTATGAGGTCTTCTGTTACAATGCAGATGTATCTTTGTATTACATGTTGTATTTTTGTGATGTTCTATCTTTGTATAAGGGCTTTCCCACCCAGGAGAGGTGATAAAACAGTTTCTTATTTTTTCATGATTTGTAAATCCTGCACCTGCTGGCTCATGGTTACTTGAATATGAAAACTTGCTTATGCCCCTTCTTCCTCAGAGGTGACTTTTGCTGCCATCACTTGATTTTTTAATTTGATGGGAATCAGAAATCAGTAGGCATTTGGGAAAGAAAGAGATATATCATCATCAAAGACTATAGACTTTGAAATTGGATAGCTCTGGGTTTTAATTCTTCTTAGGTCTACCATATAACAATACAGCTTATGTTGAGTGAAATAATCCCACTAAGCCTGTTTCTTCACCTGCAAATGAGAACAGGGCTATCATCATTGTGTACATAAGTAATGTGTGTGAAGCTGTCTGGCACAGAGTGTACACTATAGGCTCAAAAAGAGAGCACTTGCAAAAATAAAATAGGTTATTTGTATTTATCTTGCTTGCAATCATGTAGAATACATTTTACTTTTCTTCTACTTACAGCAAATCATTTTTGAGATTGCACAATTACTACAATTCCATTAGTAGCTGATGTTACATTTTTTCCAAGGACTAAATGTTTCAGAATTATAAGAAAATATAGTGAAGTTTCTTTAAAGGAAAACTTGCCAGAAGAAACAATAGTATTGAGACTGAGACTAAACAGAGCACATGCCAGCTTCATGGGGAATGTACCTGGGGAAATTGAAATCAGAATTTATTTTTTCCGTTATATTGTTCACCAATGCAGTGGAAACCAGCACTTACTGTTCCTAAACCTTGTAAGCTAATGGATATGACAAATGCTTAGGATGTACTAAGTAAGGTTTTGTATGGCAGCATGAATATGATCCTCACTGGTCTTCATAAATTTCTTCTAATTTGATGATGGCAATAATTAGTGAAGGCTATTTCCAAATGTCATTCGGTGTCCAGGATAGCAGGATTTCCTAGGAATTTTGTGTCATTTTCATTACAAAGAAAAAGTAGATTTAAATACAAAAAGGTGTGACAAATGTTGAGTGAAAACATTCACTGTCATGTGAATGACCTAGGGGCTGGGATGTTAAGTGCAATAGAATTAATAAGTGTGGGAATAAATTTAGTTTCTACTTTTAATTTTCTGGTCTGTGCAAACCAAGCGAAAGGGCGAACTGAACCAATAAATGACTGCAAACACATTAAAAGCCTGATGTCTTTGGGTGCATACACAGACATTCTTAGATTTTGTATGTGCATAATCTGCCATATACTGAATTACAAATGCCTGCAGAGGGAAGAAACATTTAAGATTGCATTTCAAATGATTCAGTGCCTCACAAGTAAGTGCCTCTTGGTGTATATTAATTTGTTTAACAATTTTAGCTGAAATCAGCTTTGTGTTCATATGTATTTTCCCCTACTGCCTTTCATTAAGCAAGGGAATAATTCTGAATAAAACATAGATAAAAAGCTTAGACTTTGTAAGCGGAATGGTTAGTGTCAGATCCTGGCGGCCCCACTTACTACATATCTGAACTTAACAATCCTGAGTAATTGTTTTTCCTGCTGCTCCATTTCCTATTTCACAAAGCTGAAGAGTAACTAGGGTGCTGCTTAGTGTACAAGCGCAGAAATGGTGCTGCCTGTGGAAGCCAGGGGACTTGTTTATGAAATTGAAGAATATACATACCTTTTAGGTATATATGAAAACATATTTTAAACAGACCTAAAGTTGGTAAAATTTAATATAAAACAGTATAAAATGAAATATCTTGAGAGATTCCTAGGGGATTAATAAATCATATTTGTGTTTGGGAGGGTCATGGAGTTGTGACCTTGGTGACAATTTCTGGTCTCTCTTGCTCCTTCTGAATTCACTGCTTCTGTCCAGCATGAGAGAGAATATAAACAACTGACCATGGATTGGAACCTCAGAACTGTGTGTTGTAGTCAGGGGTTATGAGAACAACAGAATCAGGACACAGAATTTATAGTATTATTTTATGATGGTCACCCAGAGTTAACACAAGAAAGTGTACGAAATCTGCCCGCAACACTAAAGACCCAGAATAATCAGCCAAGGGCCTGGGTCCCACAGCTATGTCCTGAATGAGTCCAGATGAAAACCTAGTGCCCATGACACTGCCTCCTACAAGTCCAACTGGAGGTCTAGAAGACGTGCGAAGGACTCACGCGTCTGTTTTATGAATCTGTGCCGGTAAGGCCCAAAGGTCAGTGATGGAAACTAGAAAGTTTATGCCATGGGGTGAAGAGCCTGTGATGGTAGGTTGAGGTTTCTACACTAGAGCTGAGAAGTCATGCTCAAATCAAGGACCAGGGCCGTCCTGAAAAATACCATACCCATCCTCAGTGACATGAAGGCCCAGAGCTCCTCCAAAGATAAGTCGAAAACATGACAGAAAGCCAGAATGATGAGTTTGTCCTGGAGATTAAATGGCACATGTCTTCCCCTCCGGAGCCAGGAAGTGATGCTCAGTGTAAGGACCAGAGCTCCCCCAAAGTGAGCCACAGCCACTCACACCAAAAGGTCCTGAGCTCCTCTGATGACAATGGTCAAATTCACACTGGGGAAGCTAGTCATGATGAGCTCCTCCAGGAAAGCCAATGGCTCAAACAGCAACATTTAGAGAAACCCACAATGCCTCGCTTCTCCTTCTCCATGTCTATTTATGCTGTCAACTTTCCTCAGGTGGGATATTTATACTTAGCACCATGCTGATTTAACTCACCTGGCATTAAGTTGACCATCAGTTTTTAATGCCATGACACTGTGGAATAAATTAACCTTTCCTTTTTAAAATTGTGTATTTTGTCCCAGGAATGAAAAGCTGACCAAGGCAAACTGAAATGTTAGAGTTCCTCACCTCTTACTCCAATAAACTCTCAGGATTGTTTATTCTCCTCTGTACTTCTAGTTTTTCAAGGAAGCTGCTGGTTTTCAAATGGATGCCATTGTTAATTTGGACAAGAAAGAAGAAGGGAATAAAATCTCAGAAGGTTGTGATTTTATTATCGAATTCATTCATCCAATCATTCCCAAAACAGACATATAACTTAATAAATAGGTACCAAGGAATCCTTGTCAGGAGACAAGAAATAATAAGGTAGACCATGGTTTGTGACAGCCAGAATTTCATATGTGGTTTTCAAATGTGGTAATGTATACTTGATGGAAGCCTCTGCTGCATAGAGCAGCGGGGCTGGTAGAAACATTTTCAGAGACATGAAGCAAACTGTTAATAAAGGAAGTCATATAAAAATTAAATCTTGAGCTAGAAATAGATGACTAGTTATTTGCTGTACTTTGATGTAGGCTTAAAAAATATGTGTTTATGTTGGTTATATTATAGATAAATAATCCTTAATGTATCACCATGAGTTATGACACGTGTTTTAGCCTGAATTGCTGTTTTTTTTTTTTTTTTTTGTCTTTTTCATTTTTATAAGGTACCAGGGATCGAACGCATGACCGCCTGCTTGCAAGGCAGGTGTTTGTGCTGCTGAGCTAAACCCCCAGCCCCCTGAAATGCTGTTTGAAATGATTTTTTTTTTTTTAACCAGTGATCAAACTCACAAGTTTGTGCTTGCCAGGCAGGCGCTTACACCCCTAAAAAATTCCCGGCCCTACATGAAATACTTTTAAAATGAGTTATATTAGATGTTCTTCATTGACTCAATTCTTTCTATATTTATCACTTTTATTTACCAGCGCCTTACTGTTTTGTACTTTGGTCAAAAATGTCAATATTATTTGTTCTCTAGTTTCCATTCCAAATCCTGCTTACTTACCTTCCATGAGCATACCTACAGTTTAATGACTCATAAAGCCCATCAACAATCTCTGTGATGCCAAATCTAGCTTAATCTTTCTAAAGCCCTAGATGATGTTGGTTCACAGCCTTTTCACACTTTTCATGGGCCAGTTTACAAAGCTAAATCAGCTGAGAGGTACAAATGACAAATAAACATGACCATGTAGTAAGATGTAGAATTCGTTTCTCTTTTTAATAAATGAAATGGCCAAGCTTAGACATTATGAGTAAAATTACCCTTAGAGACAAATCTACTAAGACAGGTTTCACTGCTGCATTTGCTTGTGTTAACTAACAACATGAGTTAATTTTGACTTTCTTTGGGTAAAACAAAAGCTTTATGATAGTACTCCCAAAAGTTTTTAAATAGTAATAAGCATCCATTTGTCTTTAGATTGGTCCCATTTTGTTTCTTTGGTGTGAGGGCACAGGACCATTTTCATTGGAGGAACTCATTCATTAACATTTCAGCGTGATCTTTTTAAGATTTAGGTGCTCTTTCAGTTTTATCATCACTGGTCACACATGAAGGTGGCGTGGATTGCCAGTGTTATCTCTAGGAATGGATGGTCAGTGCTTTCTAGCACGTGGTTGGCTTCTGAAAATGTCCACATTTGACTCTGAGAAAACTTCTCTTCTCAGGTCTGAAAGGTAAAGAACCTGGGAGAAAGAAGAGATTTCTTCTCTATCAGCAGTGAACTTGAAAACTGTCTGGGTGAAGCAGTTTGTGTCTGAAATATTTGTTGCTTGAGAACGTTGGTTTTGCACTGGATCTGAGATGCTTAATAGAACCTTCTGTAATTATGGAACTGTTTTCTATCTGCAGTATATAACACATTGGCTCCTAGAAACATGCTGCTCTTGAACATTTGAAATGTGGCTAGTGAGACTGAGGAACTGAAATTTTAATTTGACTTAGTTTTAATTAATTTAAAATTAAAGTATTTCACATGACTAATGACTGCCATATTTGACATCCCAGGACTAGAGTAACTTTCTTATTAGTTGTAATTGATTGTCTGAAATTAAATCTTAGGAAATTCCTCCTGAGGAAAATTTTCCATTTTTCTGTTCTGTGTCAATAGCTGCTGACCTGAGAAGAATTTTCCAGGCAAAGTCTTTTGATTCCCTGTGAGGCATGAACCTGTCCTGAATTATGCACTATTTAAAAGAAAGGCTAGAGTACTAAGGGATGTGTCTAAAATGCCTCACCATTTCTTTCCTAACAGAATTTTTTCTAATGTTTCCATGCATCAGAAATTCTCATGAATGTTATTTAAAGAAGTCAGAGATTTGATTTTTCTCCTAGTGCAGATTAAACTCAGAATATTGGTACCTGGGCAACATTAGTATTTTGGTTTTGGTCATGGCATTCAGTGATAGTGACCAATAATATCAATGTGTCTGTCTTAGCTTTTTTACAAAATACGTTTTTAGGTGAGTTAATGGAAATTTTAAATTCCATAACTTAAAATTTGTAAAGAATTTGAGCAAGTCAATATGTTGAGCAGTCAAATGTATTTTCCTCCAAAGATAATGGAATTGTAGACACTGTCTCGGGAAATGACTTGAGTCAGTGTTTCTAGCATGGTGTCCTGGCTTGCCCTGGCACATACACCTGTCCTTACCTTGCTTCCTGTGGTCAAGAACAGGACATGTGAGACAACATTCAGTGTCTGGTGTGAAGGAGTGCTTCACCTCGTGTTCATGTGTTCAGTCTTAATTTTAACATGTGAATTGTCTTCCCAAGAATAGCTAATAGGGAACTTCACCCTGATAGACAAAGTGCTAAGTCTTCTTGCCAAATTTAATAAGTGAATCAGCTGTTGAAAACAAGGAAACAGAGCATTGTTGAAACAATTATGAACAAATTATACTAAATTCAAAATTTAATTCAAAATAATTTTCTAATTGTACTGCTTTTGTTGGAACGTTTATACAATGAGAAATTAAATAGGTATTTGGGTCATTGAAGTTTAAAGAAACATAGTAGAAATGTAGTCATCCTAGACAAGGAGTAAAAAATAATCTTCACAGTAAAACTGGCCATGTAATGCCCAAATGGCAGTCTTGAGTATTTGAGAGGCATCTGCATAAGGGCAAATGAAAAATGCGTATTTGTTTTCTGATTAGGCAATTAGATACTAAGAATGTAAACTCAAGAGCTTTTGAAACATATTTGACATAGTATTCATATCTTCTGTGATTTCTCTACAAACATAAGACACTGCCAGCATATTCTGGTATTAGGTAAGTATCTTTGATGAATACTTTATATTCTTTAACATCTCCTTTACCATTACAGGGAATCTGTTTTTTTTTTTTTTTTTTTTTTTTTTTTTTGTCTTTTTCCTTGTTATTGGTACCGGGAATTGAACTCACGACTGCCTGCTTGCAAGGCAGGCGCTTATGCCACTGAGCTAAATCCCCAGCCCTGGATTCTGTCTTTTTAAATGCAGTAATGAAACTTCTTTCACAAGTTTGCTGTTTTAAAAACAGTTTATTTTATCTGGAAGGAAACTAATTTGCTTAATTTAACAAATCTATGTCCAGGTGGTCACTTCCCTTGTTGCTGTGAAATAATACCCATCACTTATAACTTAAAGTATTACGTTTATGTTGACTTAAATTTCAGTCTAAAATTGACTGGCTCCAAGATAGGATAGCATTGCAGAGAACCATGTTGGTGGGGAACTTCTCATGGCATGGTGGACAAGAAGCAGAGAGAGAAAGGGGAGAAGCCAGGATGGGAAATACAGCCTTTCCAGGTCAAGCCCACAATGAGCTACCTGATCTGACTGTTCCCTATCTCCTAACACAAATCAGCTGTAATGTCCCTACAATTCAGTCACCTTCCAAAGGTTCCTACCTATGATCTCATGAAGCTTTAGGGGAACATCTAGATGACATTTTTCCCCTGCCCCCTAGAGAATTTGCATACACATCTTTATGCAAATTGCATTTAGTCTGTCTCTAAGAGTTATCCAAATCTTAACAGTCTTAGCATTGCTGGAAAGTCCAAGACCAATGTCTCAACTGAGACTCAAATTGCACTCTTAGCTGAGATTCCCAGTAGAATCAAGAAAGAAAGTTAAATGGTATTGTCATACCGGGTAAGCACTCCCATTCCAAAAAGGAAGAAAGAGTAATAGAAATCAGTGGGACTAAAACAAGACCAACAGCCTAACAGGGAAATCCTTAAATACTGTAACTCTGAGTCTAGAACCCAGAGCAAGCTGTGGTGAAATGTGAGCCCCAAAGAGCTATGGACCCCACCTTTTCTAGCCAATTGCAGCAATCATAGGGCTCTATGGCTAAAATTTGGTGCAATCAACTTTTTCCTTATTCCAAATTCATCACTTATTTTCCACTATTAGTGGTGTTACATCTAAACTTTCTTATGCGCACTATCATACAGATTCCAGTTTCCTATAGTGAGGCCCTCTGTTCCCAATGGACATGGAAAATTCCAGGTGAAATAAATGTAAATGAATATTAATAGTTTCCTATGCAACATACTAGATTTTTTGTCAAGTAAATGCTTGAAATCCAATTTCCATACGGTAGGTATCTTCTAGAAATTTATTATTAATGAGCAATTTAATAGTTTAATTTTAGATAATTTTTAAAATATATATTTTTCTTGAATGAAAATATTTTATTGGTACATAAAATTATACATATTTATGGGATACTGTGTGACAGTTCAATACCTGTATACATTGTAGAAACCTCAAATTAGAGTAAATATATTCTCAAAACATTTATCATTGGTAAAACATTCAAAATCCTTTCTTCTACTGTTTTTGAAATACAGTATACAGCACATTGTTGTTATTTATGGTGACCCTACTGGGCAGTAAATCTCTAGAACTTATTTTGCCTATGTAACTATTTAATGTGCAGTATAAAATTGTCTTGGTTACTTTTCTCATTGAGACAAAATACCCGATGCCCAAAGTGAAGCAAGAAGAGGTTTATTTACCTTACAATTTTTGGAAGTTTCAGTCCATGCTCTGCTGGCTCCAAGGCAGGATGGCATAGCTGAAGGGCAGCAGTTTGTGGTGGCTACAAACAATGAGAGAGAAAGGGCAGAAGAGGGCATGCATGCCTTCTTCCTGCGCGTATTGTGTGTATCAGTTCCACACACTGGGTGAAGCACTCTACCAAACCCCATGCTAGGTGACGAACCAGTCACAAATGCAAGATTCAGCCGTGTCCATGATTGCATGAGGCTTTTCAATATAGATAAGTAAAAATTTGAATAAGTACATACATATGTATATAGTCACATATACCCAAATCATACTGAACTTTGATTGTCATCTGGGGAGATGAAAGGTTATGTAGTAGGCTAAAATTGAGACTAAGTTTAAACTATGAAACAGGTTTTCTGTGACTGTTTATTGAACTCTAAATGGATCAAGTGCAGGAATTTAAGGTTAAGTTGTTGTATTATGAAGAAAAAAAAGCTGTCTCACTCCTAAGGATTATTTCACAATATTAATTTACAAATTAACTTCTTATTGTTAACGTTTTTCTGCAGGAATAAAAATAAACAAAGATAAAGATTTGGAGGCACTTTCTAAATTCACATTTTTCAGAAGCCCTAACAAGTGCTTTGGGATATATTCTATTAGAAATTGAATGTTTCAGTTATCCAGACTCTGTGCTTAATATTTCACAGACATTGTCTTTTATTATATACTACATTTTAAGTGGCAGCCATGAGTTTAGAATTCCTGTTTATCTGTATAAATTATTAAGTCAAACACTTAAGTTTATATTTTAAGCTCAATTTCAAAAAGGCAGGCTTTTGAATTAAATATGTCTTACGTTTTCAGTCTTCATTAAGGAGTAGCAATGAGTCAGTTTTTTTGTTTGTTTGTTTGTTTTTTGTTTTCAGATTCACAAATTAGTAGTTTTGTAGTAGTCTTGTGAGTAGACCAAAGTGATCTCTAATATGTTCTCTCTGTAGTTCACTATTGGCAACTTCATTTGTGAATAGAAACAGATGTTAAAAAAGAAAGGAGAATTTTGTGAGCTTTAATGATCCCTTATTTTACCTTATTTCTTCCTCTATTTAACACCTCACTCAGTGCTAAGTATTCTATACTCAGTGAATGTATTTTAATTTGTTGATCTTAGTATCTTTTAATTTGTTAACAAATTTGACATAGAAAGACAGTAACTCCTCTGAAATTTGGATAATTGATTATATTTTTATTTTATTAATATTATATACATTGTTACTGAGGCTATGAAATATAGAGTCTCACATACAAAGCATATATTTTATCTTTTACAATCTCTACTCCTTAGAGACTTTCAAAAGAGTTCCTCAAATTAAGAGTTTCAAAGAGAGGCCTTGAAACACACCACAGAATCCATTACAGCTGGATTTGTGTAAAAAGTGGGCAGAGAATATGCAGTCACATATTCGCTGCTTTTTTACAAGCTTGTTATATATCTTTTCAAACAGGTAGGAGAGGTGTTTGAATATTGAAGATTGGACATGGGAGAGAGAAGTGAATTAAATTTATCTAATAAATCAGCATATTTTTATCTTTGTATTTCACTTTGTGCTAAATTGAATTAAGCTCGAGCTACTCCTTAACTTCTTTGGATACTCTGAGCCAAAGGAGGACTTAAAAATAATTGTCCAGTACATTCCTGCCCAATGGCATGTGTATAGTTACAAGAATGGAATGTTTTTGTAAACGTGACATAAACAGCTAACGGTTTTATAAGATTTATTTTTTTCTCTACATGGTGAACTTGATTTGGTGGATCTTACACAAGGTAACAGGTATATATCAATCTATTTTATGTGCAACGTACATGAAAACAATTTTAAATTATTGAAGCTTGCTATTATTTGTGGACATGTTAAACCACATCATTGATTCCATGCAAAATTTATTTTACTTCTTAGTTTCCTAAAGAGGCACAAACCAAATATTAATTTTGGTTCTTTAAGTTTTTATTAAAGAGAAAATTGTAGCAATACTAACTTCATGGCAGGGCTATCACTGAAGTTTTATGGATGCCCTCTCTAGAAAAAATTATACAGCTATTCAGCGCACTACTGGGTGAACAATAAAATAAGTTTATGGTGTCTTCTGGAGAATGTAGGTTTATTGTATTTTGTTTTTATCTCTGTTTGTTTTAATATCTGCCCTCTACTTCCTACTTTGTACTTTTAAAAAATTGGTTTGCTGATTTGAACTTCAGTTGTTAGCCTGGTTCTTGTTAAGGAATATTGAAGCAGGGAAGTAAAACAATGATAGAAATACTGCTTTTTAGTTAATTTGACTCCAACTGATTTTATACCTGGGAGCAGGGGAGCTGATGGTTCTTGCGAATAGTTAATTAAATATGGTGCTGATCGCTTCTGTTGGAGGCATTAAGTCATCTACCTTGTTAGCAGATTCTTTGCCCAACAGAGTTAGACTTATCCTTGGAGGATCACTGCTGAATGTTTACGTTGTGCTCTAGTAACTGACTCAGGGCAGGATGATGGTCCATGTGCAGTTGACCAGGGAGCTGCTCATCAGTTTTGTAAAGATAATTTGTATGGCGGCCTCATTCTCCTTTGTCGTAAGAATGAGCTGTCTGGCAAGTAAATGGCACGGATAGGAACTTACCTTCTTCCTTTAGCTTCCTAGAATTATTTTCTGTGGTAAAGAAAAAACTCACTGTGTTTTGTTTCCCTAATGGTTCCTGGAGTCTCACCAGCAGGTTTTTACAGTCTGCTGCTTGCCCAGATTAGAAGACTGCTAGCAATATTTTAACAGTTTCTTAGGATTCAAACAGCCTTTAATTAATAGCAAACTGATGCTTTGGATTGTTATCAAAATAGTGGAGACACAACACCAAGGCTGAGCTTCCATCCTTCCAGCTTCTGTGCATATTAGAGTCCCCCAATGGGACAGAGGTGTTCTTGCAAACAGTGTTCTTTTAAAGAGGGTGTCTTTGTTGGTATAACATTTCCACTGCCTGCTCATTAGTGCCCGTCTAAGTTCCACCTACTCATGGCTGAGGCAGTGGCAGGCAGTTACTGAATACTAAGAGCTATAGGGCTGCAGAACAGTTCACAAAAGATTTGCTTGTAGCAGTGAGTTTGCATGTTTTTAATCCTCTGGTTTCCACAGCTACCAGGTACAGCTGCCCATGTTTGTGGTTAAGCTTCCTTTCTGTGCCAGATTCATGTCATCTTACCGCTAGAGTTTTGGATTGGTGGAAAACAGCAGTTCTGCTAAACAACTGCTCAGATGTGGAACATATTCCTAGCAGATTAGTTTCTGAAGAGGGAGAAGTGAGCAAAGGACAGTGTTTCTGTTTTGCACCCAGAGATCCTGATTCCAGGTTTGCTGCTGACCCAATCCAGGACTTGAGACAGGGAAAAAAATCCGGGTTGTAAAGTTTAACTGTACTTACATAACTAGACAGTTACAATCCAAGGAGAAACAGCTCCAGCAGCTCCTGCTGCCTAATGGCAAATGTGCTGAGTGGCCAGTTCTCAGTTAAGGAAACAGACCTCATGTACCTTTTTTTCTCCCAGTGTCCCAAAAGGTGGCCTTTTTGTCTAACAGACATTGCAATGTTTTTCTTCCATGTCTGGTGTCACTAACTGCTCCCTTTACCGTTGCTTTTCCAGGTGGTACATGCCAGAGTCCTGCTCTCCCAGCCCTGGTCCGTCCACCAGCCCCTCCTCTGCAGCCATCGCTGGATATTAAACCATTTCTTCCATTTCCTCTTGACACTGCAGCTGCAGTCAACCTCTTCCCCAATTTTAATGCGGTAAGTACCACAGCCAACTCTGTGTGACTGATGGGAACTGGAAAACCTTAAAGGCCAAGGCTGTTTCAGCCTCTGCCTCTGTTTTCCCATGCTGTTAATTCTGTGATTTATCCGAAAGCTGTGGTGAAGTTAGTTGTCTGCCTGGTTATATAATGTCCCCAGAAGCAGTCTTCTTAAAATGAAAATGTAAAAGGTTTGATCTTATTGGCTTCACTATGAGTTGATGTTGCCTGGTGAGTGACTTCTGGGTAACACCTGTAATTTTTTTTGAAATCTGTGATATTGTAATTTAACACGTGTATTAGAAAGCATATTGAAATTCAAGTTTAAATGTAGACAACTAAATGTTTTCCCTTTTTTATGTATTCTACTTTAATTTTATATCTATTATTTCTTTTCTAATTTAATAAAGAAGATCCTGACAATGATAAAGGTGATAGATTTTATGTATACATTTTCATTTTGCCTCTTTAAATTCAAATAACTCTGGGCTCTCGTAGGGAAAGTTTTGATATTTTTCCTTCCTGTTCAACTATAGTTGACTCAAGACTTTCTTAAAGTAGTTTGTACTTGGTTTCTTTGTCCTTTGTCAACAGCCTTCTCAGTGCAAAATTATTTTCTTGCTTCTTATTCACCTTTAAGATATCTTTGTGAATTGACTGATTCATTATATTCATCATAATTCTTTTCTGTGTAAGCTGTGCATATACTCTTACAATTAAAATTAAAATAGAGTTGAAAGGTTAGAAACAAGGAAGTGACCTTTTTAAAAACACTTTCTTCAGTTTTCAGTGATTATTGTAATCGAGATCTGAGCTGATCAATGATAGGATATGTCAAAACAATCAAAGCAAAGAGGATTAAGAAGGGTGGTCACAGAATTCCCAGTAATCTAAATAATACTGCTTTCTCATTGCAACATTTGGCCCTGTACTGAATTAAAGTAAAAAATCCTTTCCACAACTAAATCATTCTTGATCTTCCCTTTGATAGTACTTTATCACAGGGACTTTAGATGTGCCAGTAAGGTAGTGCAGTGATATACTTGCTACAATGCAAGGGAAAATAAAACAATCAGTTTGCTTCTTGACAGAAGAGGAGTATATCATAGGGTCATTATTTTGAAGTAGGGCAAAACAGAGAAGCATCAAGGTCATGTTTACAAAACACAGGTTTCTAATCTTAGGTGTTTCAATAAAAGTAGAGAAAAACTTGTCCCACATCAAATTCTCTTATTGTCATATATGATGACACTGATGTCCCATGGCTTCCTTTTTCATGAACTCTTTTTCTGTTAATCAGTTAAGTGACTACCTGGTACAGCTCTGCTCCCAGCCACATGAGGGATAATCCATCATGGTACTCTACTTGGTGTTGGAGACCCCAGGCATTCTGTTACTTAGGTCCTGTGTCAGCTTCAGAGCACGTAGGTGAAAATCCTGGAAGATTAAAAAAAAAGCCTGGGATTAAATGTTCTTTTTGCTTTTTGAAAAAATTAAAACCAGAGTGATTAATTTGATTGACAATGAGTGTCATTTGTCATGAGACAGAGGCGAGTGGTACGCTGAGTTTGGTGACACTAAGGAAATCTGTTTACATTTCACTAAAAGGAGTGGGCCTGATGATCTCTTCCTTCAGGTGTCACCGTTCAGAATTTGAAAGGTGTGTGTGTATGTGTGTGAACTCATATACGTGTAGAGACAAAGCAGCATTATATGTTGATAAAGCTGGACTTTACAGCTAGACTGACTACAAATCCCTGAACTGCCTCTTATAATCAGTATGATCTCAAGGAGATCACATATTTTTCATGTACCTCAATAACTTCATCCATAAAGTAGAACTAATAGTAAACTTTATAGATATGAGATAATGATTAAGTTACTACACCATTTCAAACAGGGATTAGCATAAAACAAGCGTGATTTGTTTAACATGTATCATGTTCATAAGTAGTTTGTTAATCCTTCTTAATCTTGGTGTGGAAGTTCATGGATTGCAAAGGTGTGGCTAGACTCTTCTCATCTGAATTTTGAGTCATGTTACTATTTCTTCCACTAAATACTTGAGGCTGTCTGCTGTTATTCCTATTATTTTTTCCTTAGTTGTTTCCTTCAAGTGGTGGTCCATCTATAGCCAGCTGAGGATCGAGCCTCTCCTTTCTTCCAACTAAGAAGGTCATTTGAAAGCTTATAGCCATGTGACTTTGGGTTTGGAATTAGGCAACACTGTAGTTTAAATATGAAAAGTCACCCAAAGAATCATGTACTGACAGTTTGATCACCAGTGCAGTAATGCTTGAAGGTGGGGCTTAGAGAGGTGATTGGGTCATACAGGTGTAAGCCATGTAGATGGATTAGGACACTGACAAATTTATAGCTGAATGGACTATTAGGATTCAGGGTCACAGGAAATGTGTCTTTGAGAGGTCTATCTTGTCCTCCCAACATTGCTTTCTGGTTCTTTCCTTTCTTCTGTGCTTCCTGGCTACCGTAAGATGACTGTGTCACACCATTCCACCATGATGTCCTGCAGTTTAAAGCAATGATCCTAGACAGTCATGGACTGAATCCTTTGAAATAGTGATCTAAGTAAACCCTTCCTCGTTTAAACTGTTCTTCTTAGGTGTTTTATCACAGTGGCAAAAAGCTACCGTAGAGCATAGGGCACCTCTTTCAGCCACAACATGAGTTCTTGATTTTATAGCAAATGTGAAACTCAAAACACAAGCATAGTGTGTATGAAATGTAATATTGTATTGCTATAGATTGATTTGGGGTATAAGAAAACTAATTTCAACACTGGAGGGAAAGCCAATCTAATTTTGCTCCATTGTGTGCTAAATCTCTGGATTCTAACAGGCCATCTGTCCATGTTCGGTGCAAAGCTTCTTGGGTCATCGAGTTAAATGTTTACATAAGTATTCACAAAATGCTCAGCACCATATTTAGCATGGGCATTGGATCAGACAGGTGTTTCTGTGCCATGCTTAGGATACACAGGCTTAAAAGACTGTCAGTGCTCCTTCTTACTTAAATCCATCACTTAGCTCTTACTTTTTTGCAGTGGAGTGATGAGCCACTTTGCCACCAACTCCTTTTACCCATCTAATATTTTTGATACAGTCCATGAAGATCACAGACTGTCCGCTTGTTGCATTTCTCCACTCAGGCTATGAAAGTAGAATATCCATTTGGAGTAGTGTATGGCAAAAAGGTGAAGGCAAATATTAAAGCCATGTTCTCACAGGACGAATTATATAAAAATTAAGTGAATTTCTCTGATGATTGTCCTACAAGAGCATCAGCCATTAGGTTTGAGCCTGTGGCAGGAGAATAATGAAGGGTCTATGAAAATAAGCACAGTTTGTACGGACAGAAAATATACAGAATTAGGACCATGGTATAGATATAAAAGGATATGCCAAAAATTATTAGGGTCTTTTAGTCCCCTGAAAGCTAAATTTTAGAAAGTCATGAGAATCTATTTTCTACCCCAGGTAAGGCGGTGTACTTGGGAGTCCAGGAGCTTTCACAGGAAAGAAAGCCATCTTTAAACTTGTTTTCATTGCTTTTTTCCTTGCTGAAGCAAAGTACCCAACACCCAAAGTTAACATAGGAAAGGTTTATTACAGCTTATAGTTTAGAGGTTTTAGTCGATAGCTGGCTGTCTCCAAGGCAGGGTAACATGACAGAGGGGCATCACAGAAGAAAAATGGTTCAGGCAGATGGAAGGCAGCAAAACAGCAAAGGTACAAACAGCAAAGGATCATAGCAGCCATCTTTCTGTGCCTTATATTCTAGGCTGCCTACCGTTAGAGCAGGTAGCACTCACACCAGGAAGGGCCTTCCCATTATCCATACCCAGAACTACACCAAACCAATTGGACTAATTCCCCACCCTTGATTCTAGCATCACACACTTAATCCCAGCATTACACACTCTAGATCCAGCCCTGCATAGACCAAATAAGGTTTGGGGGGAACAGCTGGACACAAGCTGTAAAAACTCCTATCGCTTCCTTCACCCTGCCCTTCAGACTCAAGACACTTGGGTTTCAAGTCTTCAAAAATTCAAATCCCAACAACCTTATTTTGAGTCTCCATTTATTGAACAGAAGCAAACCTGGAAGAAGATAGATAATATGTAAGAAATAAACGAAAAGAAATGGTATGAGCTTTTTTTCCATTCAGTCACTTGCTATTTGTTAAGCAGTGCTATGTTTCAGGAGTAACCATAACAAGGATTATGTCACAACTCTTGCCATGATATGAATTCAATTTGTAAACAGGAAGTTGAAAAATAAGGAAATATTTGCAAATATGGGAGCTTTGCTAGAGAAAGTTGTACAGGAAAAAATGTCAGCTTGGCAACAAGAGTGGAAGACTGTGTGGCTGTCTTAGGGATTTGTGAGAATAATAAAAAAACATTTTTTCCATTCAAACAGGGAAGGATTTAATCTAAGGATTGAGGTTCTCATGAAACTTTTGAGGGATTTGGACAAATGAAGTCAGAAAAGACTGCCGCTGGTTCCCATTTTCTTGCTGAGTTCAGGAATTGCAGAAACACAGAATATCCAAGCAAGTTCAGTGGCTTTTATCCAGATCTGATGAAATGCCTCTCCTCAGTGTATTATAACAAGTCTGCACCCTGCTGGCAGGGAATGTACAACTTGGTCTTCCAGTCCCTTGATAGAGAAGCCATGCTAAGTACTCCATGAAAAACTTTTTAGTAGCAGAATGCAAAGAACTATGTACAATTAGAAAAGCCTGAATATGTCTGTAAACACAGACAGAATTCCAGAGTCCTGTGCTATAAAGTTCAAATAGTTAAACATTTATCCTACTATCAAGAAGTTTAGGTAAGTTTTTAAATGCTAGAGGTGGCTGCTGAGAATGGGCTTGGGCAACTTTGGAATGTTGTTTGGAATGAGGACTGAGCATTCAAATATGAAGCGTAGTGAGGTCTTAGAAGGTAAAGGGGAGAAGAGAGGGTGAAAGGGAAAGACTGTTTTGCTTTCCTTAGCTTGCCTAATATTTCTTACCATTAAAGGAATGATATGGAATGGTTGGCTCTGCTGCTCCTCTGTACGGTATGATTTCCTTGTGGACTCAGGGAAGGGAAGCAATTGCAGCAAGATGAGAGGAGTTAGAAAATGAAATGGAAAGAGAGCAGGAAGGAGAAAAAGAGAGAGAGAGAAACGCGTGGAGAAAGATCAAAACTAGTGCCTAACTCTGTTCTAGTCTTGCTGTCTTAATCCTTCTCAGAAGTACTAACTGCCAGAGACTTTCGTATAGTGTTAGTTTTGATTCTGCCCTGCAACTTTATAAGTTTTATCAGGTGAGGAGCAAAAAGTTAGAGTTTATATTATTTATAGTGGTCTCTCTTGAAAATCACAAAGAAATCATGTTAAAATGCAGGTTTTGAGTCAGAAGTTCTTGGGCAGGGCCTGGGATGCTGAAGACAGGTAGGTGGAGGAATGAAAAGTCAAGAGAAAAGTTAAAAACCCTAGTAATGTTTAGGAGAATATTTTCTCATTCATTCAATAACTGTTTATTGAGAACCTACTATGTGATATGCATCTGTTAGTTCTGGTAATTCCTGTAGATGTAGGAGGTACTATGTGGTGTTTATGTTGTAGGTGTTTGGAACAGAGCATGGGAAATTTGAAGTCTCGGTAGCTGCAAATGTATCTCAATTATGATATTTCTGAGGTTGTATCTTAGCTTTCATAAATAATATGAACCTCATGTTGGGGTAGTATTGTTCAGGACTTAGTTTACAGCTGCTGTTAGTTGAGTGCTTCCTATATGCTAGGTACCCAGCATTATAACTTGAATTCTAATTGTTAAAAGCTATGATATTTCTTTGAAATTTTTAGAGATTTTATATATGTCATGTTCTTAAAAGTATTGCTCATGAAAATACATGCATGAATGTTACACTCATGTTTATTCAATGATTTCTTTGTTCTACAAATATTACAGTTCTGTTGAATAAATTTCAGTATTGAAAATATGCCAACTAAAACAATTCTGTAAGACAATATCTGTTGTAAACAGATATAGTTAATATAATATAAATCTATAGTTAATATAATGAAGAGTGTGAAGAAGAAAATGTAGCTGATGTCTCACAGATTTACTTAGTGGGGATTTATTAGACTCTGGCTATAGTAAGTGGAAAAATTACAACAACAATAATAGGACAAGAAGAGAGAAAGGAGTGGGGAAGGAGTGGTAACTGTTGTTTCTATATAGCTGGTTTAGTCACCTTCTATAAGCAACTGGGTAAAACATCTAGATGTTAAAATCCTAGATTAGATAGTAAGCCTCAGCGGAGGAAACTCTGTTTATGCTGTTTTCTTCAGTTGTTAAAAATATAAGGTGGGCTAGCTAAATCATTCTGTAAAGAACTATACTTTAATGTTCAAATGAAATTCTTTGAAAGATGTTGCTTCCTCAATTCAGGGAAAGAAGGTTGCCGAGAAGTTCTTAAAGAAAGCTGTATGGTAAAAGTTAAAATTTGGTTTGG